TAGAGTAGCAACGAAAATAATTTTATGGTTGGGGGTCACCACAACATGAGGAACTGTATTAAGGGGTCGCGGCATTAGGAAGGTTGAGAACCGCTACTCTAGAGACTTCTCGAGTGGCACCCAGTCTACCGTGTTTTTGTTATAGCAGCCCAAGATGGCCAAGACAAAGAGGGCGGGACATTCAAGTAGAGATGTTTAGTTGAGAGTTATATATGCACAGCTACAGTTGAGGAAAGTATTAGGCCAAAAGTTGCATAATCAAGGCACCTATGATGAGCAGAGAGGAGGAATGGCTGCAATAAGGGGGTTCACCTATTAGGCCGGAAGAAAACTCAGTAAAGGCAATCCAAGACCAACCAACAGAAACTGAAGCATAAAATAAACAGAACAAAGTGTTGGTCAAGTCTAAAGAGGGCAGAGTCTCCGGGAGGACGGCATGTCAAACAGTTAAGAATATGGACTGAGAAACACTCAGGTTTGTTGATTAGTGGGGTCATTAGTGGCCATGGCAGGCGGGGAACATTTTCGATAAAGAAACATGAGCCGATGTCAGGCTAAGAAAGAATTAGTTGGTACTGAGGAACTGCATGCAGAAAGCAGATTTCTAAAAGTAATCTAAAAACAAAATTAAATCTCTCATTTCCTTGCTATACTATCTCTTGGGTTCGAGAAGTCACAGAAATCATAATGTGACCAAGATAGGCATAACCTTCCCTGCAGAAAAGAAGCCCAGAAAACTGGCTTCACATCACGCTCTGTATTCTGTCACTGTAATGGCAACACAAACAAGAAGGTATGAGGGCTATAGTTTTAAGGGCAATGTGGCTAAGAAGGCAATCAGAAAAGACAGGCGCGGCTGTGTGAAACAGGGAAAACATTTAAGGCAAAGGAAAATAAAAAGCAAAACCCAAAATACATGAAGATGAATCTCTATGAATGCAAATGGCTTAGAGAAAGACACGTTGAAAAAGTAAATAACGAATGACTTTGTGCGTGATGCACTGTTAGGAGTTTTGATTAAGTGAAATGCTGAGAGGATTGCCTCTAGTGCAATGGGAACCGAGAGAAATACTTCATCCAAGTGGTGATGCAGTCTAAGGCCTCCAAGTCTCGCTTTCCTTAATAATTGTAAAATGAATGGTGAATGTCTTGCTCAATATACCACAAACCCATTTTCATCTTTGGAGCACCAAGGTTTTATTTTAACAGGTAACATTCCCAGGAGCGTTCCTGTACAAAATCAGAGTCAGCATGAAGCACAGAGAATGGCAACATGTGGAGATCACGGATCCTGCCCTTGGTGCTTTCCTACTGGAATCTAGAATTTCAGGACGAATGACTTCTACATCGCCTCTTCCATTAGGTCACCAGTACCTCTTTCATACCTTCCTCATCCCCAGCCTGCTTAAGGGAGCAATAAAATCTATTGTGGCAAGTTGGAAAAATTAAATATGCTGCTTTTACACACTTTGAAATTGGGCTTTGTTGCAATTTACATGTTAAGATTGTGTTTAAGCAACCTATTCTTTGGAAAATAGGACAACCAAGAAACCATAATCCAAGGCAAGACAGAGAACCTGGGAGTCAAAAGAGCAAGAGAATCTAAGACGTGTACCCGCCTTGGGGCTTCACGGGTCTTTTGAGCTTGACGGGGCACATTACTTATCCTTCATTCTCCTCACCTGCAAAACACCTCCCTCTAGGGCAGCGGTTCTCAACCTTTCCCAGGGGTCGCCTAAGACCGTCGGAAAACACATATTTTCGATGGTCTTAGGAACCGAGACACCGCTCCTCTATCCGTCTCCAGGCCCACATACAGATACGCCCATATCCGAGTACCCGGTGACCCCTGTGAAAGTCATTCGACCCCCAAAGGGGTCGCGACCTACAGGTTGAGAACCGCTGCTCTAGAGACTTCTCGAAAGGCTTAAATGAAATATAATGTATATGAAGAGTCTGGTAACTATTTTGATCCGCTTCCATGGGTAATTCCGTACCAGGGGCGAATGAGTTGATTAGCTGATCTAAGTATCCTTTTCAGAAAGGCTGGAAGAAAAAGAGCTACTTGATAATTTTATTTCTCATAGTAAACTTCTACACCTAACACAGTAAACCAGGCCTTGGGCCCATCCAGAGCTGAAGACCACGCCAAGGTCCGGCCGCCCTGGGGGCTGAGCTCGCTCTACAACAAACTCCTGGAGGAATCAACGCATTTTACACTACTTCTGAAGCCCCCACAGCTCACCACCTAGGAAACGCTCCATAAAAGCCTATTAATTAATTGATTCCCAGGAACCTGTTCAACCACTTTCCATTTGTCAATAACAATATCTTTCTCAGACTTATCACAATTGACTCATTCAAGAAAAGGAGGCTTCTGGTGAAGAGTTATAAAGTCTGGTAACAAAATGCTTTTTGTTCTTGACGAAACTGCTCCACTAACTGATGGCAGGAAATCACAGGCTAGTCAGAGCTCATCGAAGACCTAACCGAGGCTAACAAGTCCACGGAGAACCCAAATGACAGACGATACGAAGAACGTTTGTAACTGACCTTGACAGGCTCTCATCACTTCAGAGTAATAAAATGGAAATGTCCTATATGGGGATTCATTTTTAAAGAGTTTATTGGTAAACATATAATCACCTTTGACAGACATTAGAGAATGCTTTCGGCGACTCATTTCCCTCATAATCAAGTCTGGCTTAACCTAATATTAAAGTCAATTCTGAGGCCTTAAACATACCCCTGCAATGCAGTGAGTAGTCTGAGGTGAGGTCACTGGGCCACTGAGGACTCAACTTGGCGAAATCTGCATAATGCTATCAAGAGTCTAAGGCTTAAAGAAAATCCAAGAAGTGGGTGCCTCAATGAACTCTGACCCTAACAATGAGGGGCTATTCTGATCCCCCCCTGTCACCCTTATGTTGGCACAGGTTTCAGATTCGCTTGTTCTCATGTACTGGTAGGAAAATCATGAGGTAGAGGACGTACGGCGGTTGCTTGAGTTGGAACAGGTAATGGGAACCAGCAGCTGGCTGATAGTAAGGCTTGAGAGATCCAACTCCCTGGAGGGAAGAAAAGGTGGGAACCCAAAGAGAAATGGAGGGCCCAAGGAGACAACACTCTGGAATAATCCAGCTTCCTCAGAGTCAAGTCCTGGTGCAGGCTCACAAGGCAAGAGCCATGTTGGAGAAGACATGGGTAGGGATAAAAAGCAACCACGGAGATGGGTACAAGCAGGCTGGGTACAAGAGACAGAGACACACTCATTCTAGGGAGCAAACAACTTTAACAAGGTGAAATAATAATACCACGTGCCGACATAGAGGGAGTGGCATAAACTCATCCTGTGCCCTTATCTCCTCACTCAATTCGCCTAACCCTCGGCAGCCTTAAGACATCCCAGGCCCACCTCACTCCTCAGCTGCAATTTCTACCCCAATGCAGTAGCACCTTCCATTAGCTCTTGTGTCTTCCTGGATAGAAGGAGAGGTAGGCTGGCGGACCCCCACGGAAGTATTAATTCAGTCAACACCTCATACACGGATAGACGGGTCCTGCACCATGCGTGAAGGAATCGAAGGCACAAGTGAAACACAGCAGCCCACTCTTGCGAGGGCTTTGGTTCATTCTGAGGAATAAGGTGGTATGGGGCAAGGGGAAAGGGCATGAAGTTTATAATCGGAGGACTTGGTTTGACATCTTGCCTAGGCCACTTACATCTTGGAGGGGGTAAAAAAGAAAATCACAACCTCACTAGTCTCAGTTTCTTCATCTGTGAAATGGAGTTGATGCCACAACTCCTTCACAGGGTAGAGAGCATCTATCAGGTGTCAGGCAAAGGTTTATTTCCATCGTCCACCCATTTTTCTGGTATCTCTACTGAAGTGTCTTACTCCACTCTCCAGGGTTCCCTCCGTTCTTTGACTTCCCTGGATGGGTGCTATGAGGAAAGGATAGGGGAGAGGTAAAAAAAAAAGTGAGGGAGGAAAACGCCTGTAAACTATATTCAGATCCCAACTTGAAGGACTTCTTCAGTGATGGCCTCCTTTCAGACTGTTCCATTCATTTCTTCTCATTCAGTTACTGGCCAGGTAAGCAAGATGTGAGAAGCTTTCTTCCCAGGGGAAACGAGGAAACAGGGGCTGTGCTCACCTCTGCCCCATGGCCCTCTTGATAAACACTCCCAAAACCCCAAAGAACAGTGTGATGCTAGCTGATTAGGGCCATAACCACGTGTGCATGGCCTGGGGTTAGGCGGAGATCCAAAGGCATGCAGAAGAAATGAGAAATTAGAAAGCCAAACAGCTCACTCTCAGGCAACGGACAGGCCTTGCAAAACACATCAAAGTAAAAAGGGCAACTCACCAAAGTGAATGAAGAGGTCACACGGCCAAGGATGGAGGAAAAGGTAACAGGTCAAGTAAGTGTCCATACCCCATGTGCAGACAATATGGTGCATAGAATTGCTTAAATCAACCAAGAACTGTCTCCAAAATATACCAAGCAGCAGAACTTGGTTGAAACTTAACGAGCTGCCAGCACCTCAGAATTCTACAAAAGTATTCAAGTGCACTTACAAAGCTAACGGGGAGGCATTTTTCAAGACTTCAGTTCTCCAGGTGTGGAACATATACACACACTTCTTTTTTTTCTTTCTTTTTATTGGGGAACAGTGTGTTTTTCCAGAACCCATCAGCTCTAAGTCAAGTAGTTGTTTCAATCTAGTGGAGGGTCCATCTCAGTGGCCCAAGGGGGGATCGAACCGGCAACCTTGGTGTTATGAGCACTGCATTCTAACCACCTGAGCTAACCGGCCGCCCCTACACACACTTCTTGATCAGCTCAACATCTACAAGTTTAACCACCAGTTCCCATATCCTGACCAGGAAAAACTGATTTTCCAAGAACATCCTTTCCACAAAATTAAATGCTATTACAATCAACCAAACTCTCTCAATTCTGCAATTCTCAATAAACAATTTTAATTCATATGGTAAATGACTTTTTGCTGACCTATTAATTATCTCAGAATATTTATGTTTCTTACCTAGAGTAAAAAAAAAAATGTTACTATAGCTTGGAAAATCCTAGAGCCTTAATTATAAATAACATGAAGGTACTTACTGACAAGGTAAGTTTGATTTCTTTATGATTGTAGTTTTTGGAAATCCTTTTCTTCAAAGCTTTTACTGCATCTTTTGGCCTACAGCAGTAAATACAGTGAAATCATCAATTTAGGCATAGCTGAAAACAAGTAGTCTCTGAAAAGCAATATGCATTGTGGAAAAAGGGATGGCTAAGAAGACCAAGACCTTGGTTCTGCTGGGTGACTCTGGGTGACACTTAACTTCTTACATCTGTTTCCTCATACATCTAGGTAGACAATAGTATCTACCCCCTTGTTAGAATCAAATATTTACTATAGCACTGTTTACAATGAAAACGGGAAACTTAAATGTCCAATAATATGGGGTTGAATAGATAACTTGTGGTAATCCCTATTAAGAAATACTCTGTGGCTTTTCAAAATGTCTTATTAAATGGAATAATAATAGCATGCAAAAAAAAAAAGATTCATTATATTCATTATATATAGCCAAAGAAGTGGGCTATAAATCAATACTCCAAAATGTTAAGTATTGTTTTTGTTGGGTGGTGAAGTCATTTGTGAATTTTATCATCTTATGTTTATCTGAATTTTATAAATTTCCTCTGCGAGTCATGCATCACTCATGTAAATGTACTTTGAAAAATGTTTACTTAAAATTAAATTTTAACCCATCACACACACATACAAATTTACATACGAGTATTACCTAGAAAGCACTACACTTTGTGAAATACACCCATATCCCTCTATCAATGCACACAACCAGTTTACAGGAAATGTAATTTCCAAAACAATGAAGGTTACCGTTACCCATTTTGACTAAGACTGTTTGTATTTTCTGAGCAACCTGCAGATATGGGGATGTGGGAGCAATTACTACTAACTAGGTCGGCTTCTGATACGGTACGATTTTATGTTACAAAAGGAAGAACTCTGTAGTATTAAGTAGAGGGTCAAAATTTACTTTGAGATGCTCAAAAGGTACAAACTTCCACTAATGAGATAAATAAGTAATGAGGGTATAATCTACAACATGATGACAATAGCTAACACTGCTGTATGGTATATTTGAAAGTTGATAAGACAGTAAGTAGACTTATCACAAACAAAGTTCTCATCACAAGGAAAACAAATTTTTGTAACTATGAGGTGAGGGATGTTAACTGAACTTATTGTGGTAATCATTTTGCAATATATGCTGTACATTTTAAACTTATACAGTACTGTACGTCAATTACATCTCAATAAAACTGAAAAATGATACCAATCCTTTTTACATATTACCTTCTAATTGTTTCTTATGTTTGCATAGATACACTTTTATATGATAATGATATAACATTACATATGCTTACATGGAATTATAAAATACATTATATAGAGAGATACCTGTGTTTCTAAAAATATCCTGTATAAAATCTAGAATTAAACTCCTGGAAAAGGTTAAAAGAATAAAGATACTGTTTTAAAAGGAAAAAAATTTTTACTTTGTGATTCCCATTTTGTATTATCAGTGGAAAAATCAGTATTATCAGCGAAGGAAAGGTTCACAAAAGAACCAAATGTGATAAACAAGATTACATAAAACATAAACACTTTCTAAGCATTTTCCACTGAGAGTCAATAATAAAGTGTAATGTTTTCTTTATCAACGTAAACAACACTAAATCTCTTTTGCTATCAGTTATCACTTTAATAAATGCAGTAAAGTGAACAGAACTGTATCCCTTGTAACAATCTGTAATTTAGACTAAATTCACAATAGTTGGCCTTCTAAACAATTTTTTAAAAGAAACAATTCTTTCAAGTTTAAAAGTATAACAAAAGATTGCACGTCATTTAAAAACAGCATGAACATGGGCAAGTTGGCATTCAGAAGGAAAAAAAATTGTCTTGTAACAGAGAGAGGAAAAAAAAAAGCTAGATTATTTCTTGGTTACAATAATGACAGCTGGCCAGAGACAGGTCACTCCCAGGAGTCCATTAGCTTCTTGATAATAAATATTTTTCAGTTACAGAAACATATAATATCAGCAATCAGAGCAGGGGGAATTCCTAAAGAAGAAAACAATCTCTGTTAAAAAAAAAAAAATCTCTTAAAGAACAAGGAATTTGAGCCTCAGAGATAAAATTCAAAACTATTAAGGAACGGGCAAAGAAAAAACTTATAATGGATTCCCAGACATTCCATATGCTGAAATAAGCAGCTCTCCTAATACTTCAACCTGACATGTGTTCAAAAGGCAGCAAGGACTTAAAGGGGGTGTGGGGGGAGGGGTGAAAGCACTTGTTCCGCAAGAAAACTAAAGAGATTGCAAGGTGCTTCTTATCCGAGGCAAATGCAAGAACCACACACTGTACTCACCCATCTCTGGTAGTGTTAATTACGTCACAAATGTGCATGAACTGGCCCCAATCTTCAGTCTGAACACCAGCAAACGTAGCCTTTTCTGCAAAGAAAAATAGCTTGTTGTTGTTGACTCTGAGCTGCAACAGAACAAAAAACAGTCTGGTCTTCCTGAAATAATCTGCCTGGAGTTTGCTAGCAAGTACCATTAAGTTTATATTACCAAAGGGCAAAGAGATTTTTTTTTTCTTTCTAAGCAATCCTCAGTAATTCAGGAATCAATCAGAAGCCAAGGTCAGAGTGCTGTTGTAGCAACAGTAATGAGTGACCTATTAATAAAGCCTGCAGGCATAACACCTGGCTGCAAGGTGAGGACAGAGGGACAGGTTGAGGAAAGCTGCATCTGCCTGCTGGCTTTTCAGAGACAGACACACACCTACTGACCAGCCTCCTACAAGGTGAGGTGCACAGTGCTAAGTGTTTTATCTTATGTAATTTCATTTAACCTGCTGTTAGAGATAATGGAACAGAAGTTGAGATACGTTAAGTATGCAAGGTTGCACAGCCAGTACAAGGTCCAACTAGCATTCAAATCTAAGCTGTTTCATGCCAGTTTTTAGATTTTTTAAACCATTTCTTCACCCGGGGGACGGAGGTGCTGAGAAAAACAGATCAGAACTCCTGAAACTGTGTCCTTTAGCAGGTGAGCAAGGTCACCCCCGGCACCTGTATGTACCAAAGCTACACCAGGCAGACTTGAAGGCTCGTGTACCCATAACTCCATCATTTAACAATCAGATATTTTCCCCTCTCCAGACATCCTCCTTGAGAATACAAAATGTTGTCTGAGAACACTGAACCTGACTGAGCTTATCATCTTTCCCACAAGAAGATTCCTCAGCATGAAAATACCAGGTCCTAGGGGGGAATGAAGAGATTAAAAAGGATAACAGAAAATACAGGTTTGGTTGGGGACACTGCTTCCCATCTAGAAAAAAGAGCTATCTGAATTTGGCATTCAATGGGCAAAGCTAACCAAACTTGTGTTGTTGAGACATATGCTAGTGTTATTCCTTCTGCCGGAGTCCTTGTTCTTCATTCCATGCACTTCCTCCCACCTTCCCATCTTCCGAGTAAACTCCTATTCACCCTTCAAAAGCCATGGCAGAGTGAACTTCTCCCTTTGCACAAGTTTTGGGTGTTTCACGTTTTTCTTGCACCGTAAAGGTACCATCTTACAGTTACTACAAAATTGTGTCCGTCTTCCCTACAAGATTGCACATTCCCTGAGGGTTGAGACCAGGTGTGACCGTTGCTTCATCCAGGTCAGGCATACAGCTAGCCGTCAGTAAACGTTTGCACCATTAAAGAATTCATCAGCCTGTGAAGATGCAGTCTGAATCCATTTCTGCGCAGGGTTCATTTTAATACCCAATAGGGATATATATAGTCAGCAACAGTTGGGAAAGCATTTCCTCCTCAGTGACAGTGACTCTCCCCCTTTCATAAAGATGTGGGGACCAAGGTTCAGGTCAAGTTCCACGTCACACAGCAGATAGCTGAGCTGTAGCCCAAGCTCTCCGAATCTGAGCCGCCTCACTATCACTACTGGGCGCTGGTCATTTCCTCGCCCCGCTAAGTCCCTGACATTATCAGGCTTTGCTTGGCATCAATATGCGCCGATGCCACCCCCAGGTTCCCAAAGGGGGCATCGGGGACAACAAAAAAGAACGGAGCTGGTGCTGGTAGAAGTCACTGGCTTCTGAGTATAGTCTTCAGAGTACAGCTGCAGGAGAAATGAGCTAAGCAGATACCTGCGTGGTCCCCAGTGTTTTGAGAGGTCTCTGGTGACCCCAGATGGCTCCTCTGCTTTTCCTTCCTGCATCCTCCTTCTCTTTGTTTACCCAGAAAGAGTAACTCAGGTCGTGAGGGCTGGGCGCCGGAGAGAACTGGTTTGAAGAGACCTGCCTCCTACCGTGAGGTCACATCACTTAACCTCCCTGGCCCTTGTTTTCCTCGTCAGTACAGAACAATCACGCGCTCTGGAGTGAACGCACTTGACGGATCACCGTCCCCTGGCCGAGGACTGGATGCCCTCCCCTTGTTAGAAGCCCAAACACTCCACACCTGTGTCCCACGCGTGGCTCACCTGTGCGGTTCCCACTCCCCAGGAGGCATGAAAAAGGAAGTGGATTTTGAGGAGGGGCGACAGTGGAAAGAATCAGCCACCAAGAAATGTCTCAAAGGGGCCGGGTGGAATGCGGATGCCCAAGAAAGTTGCAGGGGGAGGGGAAAGACTGCCTCCAACTTGGACCAACTCCGTCCTCCTCAGGCCGACAAGGGAGTCCCACCGGGAAGGGTACCTCGATGCCCAAAGCCTGCCTGGGAGTCTTCCCCCCCACCCCCACCCCCGCCTCTTTACCTATGAGGTGGCCCACGGGGGTCTCAAAGGGATCCCGGTGACTCTTCCCAAACGCCATGGTAGCCCCTGAGATCCGGGCCCAGGAAATCCGCCTCCACTGCTCTCCGGCTCCCGACTCCACCCGCTCGGTGTCTCTGGCTCCTCCTCTTCGCCCGAGATCTTCCCGGCCGCCCCGCGGAGGCTGCGCGTCCTGCCCGGCCGCTGCGGGGCGCCCGGCACCTGGAACGGGGCGCCGGGGGCGGGGACAGGGGGGCGGGGCTCCGGGGCCCCCGCGCACCTGCTGCGGTCCCGACTCGAGGTGGGATGAGCGGGCGGCCGCCGCCGGGGGGGAGCCTGCGGGTGGGGTGCGCGGAGCGAGCTCAGGAGCCGGGACGGCTTATCGCCCCAGCGGAGCCTGGGACCCCGGAACCACAGCCCGGGAATTCGAGATCTCAGCTCTGATCCCGCCGCCAACTGGGCAGATGGCTGCTCTACTCGGCGCCTGTCGTAGAGAAGGAAATACGGTGTTAATAACAACACGTCTCAGGATTATTGTGAGAATTAGGGACGTAAACCACATAGCTCCGTGTCTGGCACCCACAAAATAAATATTTAACCACTGAATGAATCAAGTAACTGGAAATATTTACTTCCACCCCCACCCTCGCCGGGGGATCCGGTAGGGGAGGTGTGTCCCTTGCCCCTCAAAGCTGCTGGTGACGGATGGATGAGGTAATGTGTTTGGATTTGGGGCCCTTCAGGGAGCACGCGTCCTTTGTCTCGTTCCTGTTTCCACATGGCGCTGCTAAGCGTTGGCTCCCCTGTGCCTCCTGATCTTCCTTCCTGCTGTCAACTTGGGCCTAGTTCCACAAGCCCTTTTTTGGCCTGAGACATGATGACGAGAGATCAAAGGGGACTTGGTCTGACTTACGTCCTTAATGTTAACGTATTTTAGAACAGAAATCAAAACCAATTGCAATGCATGCCAAGGGGCAAAATGGCCTCTCTTTTTTTTTTGCTCTAATTCTGTTATTTCTAATTCTTCTCGACCTAAGTGACTTGAGATTTTATTATGTCGAATGAAACATTTGTGTTGTGATGGTATTTCTCATAATAGGATTGGTCCTACCTGTAACTATTCTCTCCACCTGCTTATCCAGGGTGAGTAGCTCTTTCAAAAGGTGCCCTTTATCAACTTCCTTAGCCATGACTACAACCTCTGCTGACACTGTTGAAAACCTCTTTGTGACATCATCAACCTAATCTCTATTCCATGTAATAGGCTCTAGCAAAGAATTTGGTCTTCTCTGAAACCATCATCAAGCAGCTCTGAAGAGAAAGTCCATTTTAGCTTAGCTTAAGCTGCTGGTTGGTATCGGGAACCTTCATCAGGGAATAAGAATTTGAGTACTACCTGTGTTCTGTCTCAGCTAAGTCTGAGGAGAAGCTTTTCTCTCCCCATGTTTCCACAAGGGTGTTGTGATGGCCACAGCCTTCACTTTCCATGCTCTGCCACTCTCCCCATGATTTCCCTACTCCCCAGGGGTGAGCATCAACTCTGTCAATGTTAATATGGTTTGAAAGCAAGACAGTAGAATTCACAGCCAAGTTAGGATGAGAGAAAGGACAGAATTCCAGAAAGAAACAAGGGTCAAATGTCTAGATACCAGGAAGCAAAATGTCACCAAAATTTCAATTCCAAGGACACTTGGAATTTCCATTTAATTATATGGAAGTCATAATGCTAGGTGGAAGCAAAGGAAATAAATTTATTTAAAATACACTAAGTGCTGAAGTGGAGCTCTAACTGTAGTCGTCACAACCCTGGAGGCAGGAAGCGGTCACCTCATTTTTACAAGTACATAATCTGAGATTAAGAAAAATAAAGCTTATAAATAGTTTGGCTAGAGCTTGAATCATGGCTGCCTGATACTAAAGCCTTTGTTATGGCTGCTAGGTGAATCTACTCAGTGAGCATGACATCCCAGTTTTTAAAAAGATCTATTTGAGGGGTGACCAGTTAGCTCCGTTGGTTAGAGCGTGGTGCTGATAACACCAAGGTTGCCAGTTCGATCCCTGCATGGGCCCCGTGAGCTGCGCCCTCTTTAAAAGAGTCAACTATGCCATTGTAGCATGAAAGCAATGTGTAACCAATGACCATGGCTGTTCCCCAATAAAATTTAAAAGAAAAGACAAACAAACACCTGTTTGATTCAAAGGGAGACCTCTTGAAGAAGATAGGCTAAGAGCAGTCATATACGTTGCTGGGAGAGGGTCCTGCTATTCCTTTTGTACTTGCTCAAAAGTGCCAATATTTTCTGTACTAGAACTATATGCTAAGTATGTTCTAAATACATTACATGCATTGTCTCATTCAATCCTATAATAACTCTATGAAACCAGTTTTACAGGTTAGAAAATCCGAAGTAAGTCTGACTCCAGAAACCGAGACTTTATCCTTTATATTATGCACCTCTCACAGGTAGGGCCCTCGATAGCAGCTGGTACCCTTGACTAGTTCACACTTTTAAATAAGTGGTTTCTAGGGCAGGTCCCTGGAAACGAGGTGACTGAACATGGCAAGTACATGGCTAGAGGACAAAGTTGACCCATCATCAGGCTTTATGCAGCTGAGGCTCACTTTCATCCTCTCATTGAATTCTGTTCTCACCACTAAATTTCTTAGATTGTTGGAGCTGGGACATGACCTTAGAAATCATAGTCTCTATTCCCACCATCTTATAGATGAAAAAAATGACAGCCAAAGAAGTAAAGTGGCTAGCCCAAGGCCTCCCAGCTCCAGGCTAGGAGAATGCAACACAGTAGCTTAACCCTGAGTCCCAAACTCTTAGTCCCAAACTCTTACCACTACAGGCACCTACCTCCTCTCTATTTTAGCATTTCAATGTGCTCTCCCACCTTCCCCACAGTATTTCCTCTAGCCCTCTCCTTATTTTTTACTTTTTCTATTGGTTCCAGTTCTAAGCGCCACCCACCCTTTCTACCCCAGTTGTCCTACAGTTGATTTTCATAGCAATGTGATCTCACATCTAACAGCCACTTCTCAGCCTCATCTTCTTTTTGCTCTCTGTAGTATGTGATGTTGTTCCCATGAGCCATTCTTGCCTCCATCACTTTTCTATCCTATATTATGACTACTCTATATCCTATTTTTCTGACCGCTACTGCTCATGATCTTCGCCTGGCTTTATTTTCCTCCTCAGCCTGCTAAACCTAAGTAAGCCACCCCACAGGTCCACAGTCTTCCATTTCCTCTTTTTCCATTTCCCTCAGGGGGCCTTCTTCTTGTCCCTTCTCTATGTCACTTCTTCTGAACACTCCCAAGAGAACTGAGCCCTCCTCTTTGGTCCTACATATAGATTTCTTTCTTAGTGCTCACAACACATTATTCTATTTCCTTGTTTAGAAATCTGTTTGCTGCCTCCTAGGTAGAAGAGGAAAAAAGACCCTATTTGTTAGACTTGGTATCCAGGCCCTTAACAGGCCTTAAGGGATGCTTATTGGATGCATGAATGGCTCTCCAAAATCTTGAGCTCCAGCCCATAATTCCCTCCTGGATGCTTTGTTAGAACCCTGACCTCAATATAGCTAGAATTACAATACTCAACCCCTTTCTCTATCATCTCAAATCCTATGTGATTTGTTTTGATGGACGTGATTATTGATGTATTGGAATCACAGGGGTTGCTGTAAAGACTACTGATGCTGGGGTCCCACCCTCAGAGATTCTGATTTAAGGAGCCTTGGGATGCATCAAGGGCATCAAGGCTTTTCAAGGTCCTTGGGTGGGCTAATGGTACCATAATTTCCCAAATAAAAAATCTCGAAGTTATACCCAACTCTTTCCTTTCAGTCAATTCTGGATTCCTCTGTGTTATTTCTCTGTCTCCTTCTTCTGTGGACCCTGCTCAATCCAGCAGTTGTTAAATGACATAAGCCTTAATACTGTTTAGGGATGAAATTGGACTGAAGCTTCGATTTTCCCAAACAACCAAGACTCTGTGCATCTAAAGACATGTTATTTATCTTCAAAATTGACCCTTTTTTACACAACGATTTTGCCCATTATTTTCCAAAGCCATTATGTGCAAAGACATATGTTGACTTTATTTCCACTTATTTCTTAATATATTCAATCTTGGCAATTCCTGACTCTGGAAATGAACTTCAGCTCAGCCTTCCCTCTCTTCCTGCTCTTGGGATCACCTCTATCAGCTTCACATGAAAGGGCTTCTCTCCCCCACCTGCACTGTGGGGAGCAGGCTGTGAGCTGACAGGGTCCTCACAGCCTTTGGAACAGTTCAGGGACCGTTCCACCCCCACTGATCCAAGAAGAGAAAAGAATAGCTGAAGCTGCAGGCACCTCTGCAAAGTGCATAACAAATGTAACCTGCTTGTGCACTCTGAGAAGTGCATAACAGGATGTAATTTACTAATGTCTAACCCGATAAACAGACCCCCTGCAGCTGCTTACTGCTCTCTGCAGCTGCTTGCTACTATATAAGCTTTCTGCAAAAAATAAATGTGGCCATTGCTCCGCCATCAGTGCTCAGTGGACCTCCCGACTGCAGCTTTTGTCTCTACGTGTCTTTCTTTTCTAATCTCCCACCCAGTCCACTCGGGTAGCTTCGGCTGACGGGTGGGTCTCATCACTGCACCCCAAGGGCTATTTTGTTTCCTTTCTATAGGCTTTCACTAACCTCAGAGACCTAAGAGAGGCAAGGCCCAGAAAGCGTGATGGGAACAAACGCTGTGGACTTCCTACTGTGCCAGCCACTGTACAACGTGCTTTGGTATCTCTGATCAACCTCATAATCTTATAAACTAAGAATCATTATTTCCGTTTTAGTCACTGACTTGCCTAAAGTCACTCAGAATCAGGAGATGAATTTGGGTTTGCCTCATTCTGAAGCTTGGGTCATTTTCCAGTTTCATCTTGCTGTACCCAAAGCAAGGATCTTGTCATCGATTTCAGGGAGCACCTGCAACATCCCGCCCAGTGCTCTTCACCCTGCAGTGCCAAATGGAAGTTTACTGATCGACCGTAAACATATACCCTTCCCCCAATATTGAACTCTAAACCATGCAAATACTTTCATTAGCTGCCCTCATCGATAATGAAGGAGTTCCATTGAGACCTGAGACTAAAGCGTATCTGCT